CTTTTTTCCCTCACTGTATACACTACACTACTATACACTACACTACTATACACTAGCCAATGCTATACTACTATACACTACACTACTATACACTGCACTACTACACACTACACTACTATACACTAGCCTACACTATACTAATATACACTACACTACTATACACTAGCCTACACTATACACTGCACTACGTTACACTACTATACACTAGCCTACACTACACTAATATACACTACACTACTATACACTACACTACTATACACTACACTACTACAGTGAGGGAAAAAAGTATTTGATCCCCTGCTGATTTTGTACATTTGCCCACTGACAAAGATGTGATTAGTCTATAATTTTAATGGTAGGTTTATTTGAACAGTGAGAGACAGAATAACGACAACAAAATCCGGAAAAATGCATGTCAAAAATGTTATAAATTGATTTGCATTTTAATGAGGGAAATAAGTATTTGACCCCCTCTAAATCAGAAAGATTTCTGGCTCCCAGGTGTCTTTTATACAGGTAACAAGTTGAGATTAGGAGCACAGTCTTAAAGGGAGTGCTCCTAATTTCAGCTGTTACCTGCATAAAAGGCACCTGTCCACAGAAGCAATCAATCAATCAGATTCCAAACTCTCCACCATGGCCAAGACCAAAGAGCTCTCCAAGGATGTCAGGGACAAGATTGTAGACCTACACAAGGCTGGAATGGGCTACAAGACCATTGCCAAGCAGCTTGGTGAGAAGGTGACAACAGTTGGTGCGATTATTCGCAAATTGAAGAAACACAAAATAACTGTCAATCTCCCTCGGCCTGGGGCTCCATGCAAGATCTCACCTCGTGGAGTTGCAATGATCATGAGAACGGTGAGGAATCAGCCCAGAACTACACGGGAGGATCTTGTCAATGATCTCAAGGCAGCTGGGACCACAGTCACCAAGAAAACAATTGGTAACACACTACGCCGTGAAGGACTGAAATCCTGCAGCGCCCGCAAGGTCCCCCTGCTCAAGAAAGCACATATAAATGCCCGTCTGAAGTTTGCCAATGAACATTTGAATGATTCAGAGGACAACTGGGTGAAAGTGTTGTGGTCAGATGAGACCAAAATGGAGCTCTTTGGCATCAACTCAACTTGCCGTGTTTGGAGGAGGAGGAATGCTGCCTATGACCCCAAGAACACTATCCCCACCGTCAAACATGGAGGTCGGAACATTATGCTTTGGGGGTGTTTTTCTGCTAAGGGGACAGGACAACTTCACGTCATCAAAGGGACGATGGACGGGGCCATGTACCGTCAAATCCTGGGTGAGGACCTCCTTCCCTCAGCCAGGGCATTGAAAATGGGTCGTGGATGGGTATTCCAACATGACAATGACCCAAAACACACGGCCAAGGCAACAAAGGAGTGGCTCAAGAAGAAGCACATTAAGGTCCTGGAGTGGCCTAGCCAGTCTCCAGACCTTAATCCCATAGAAAATCTGTGGAGGGAGCTGAAGGTTCGAGTTGCCAAACGTCAGCCTCGAAACCTTAATGACTTGGAGAAGATCTGCAAAGAGGAGTGGGACAAAATCCCTCCTGAGATGTGTGCAAACCTGGTGGCCAACTACAAGAAACGTCTGACCTCTGTGATTGCCAACAAGGGTTTTGCCACCAAGTACTAAGTCATGTTTTGCAGAGGGGTCAAATACTTATTTCCCTCATTAAAATGCAAATCAGTTTATAACATTTTTGACATGCGTTTTTCTGGATTTTTTTGTTATTATTCTGTCTCTCACTGTTCAAATAAACCTACCATTAAAATTAAAGAATGATCATTTCTTCATCAGTGGGCAAACGTACAAAATCACCAAGGGATCAAATACTTTTTTCCCTCACTGTATACACTACACTACTATACACTACACTACTATACACTAGCCAATGCTATACTACTATACACTACATTACTATACACTGCACTACTACACACTACACTACTATACACTAGCCTACACTATACTAATATACACTACACTACTATACACTAGCCTACACTATACACTGCACTACGTTACACTACTATACACTAGCCTACACTACACTAATATACACTACACTACTATACACTACACTACTATACACTACACTACTACAGTGAGGGAAAAAAGTATTTGATCCCCTGCTGATTTTGTACATTTGCCCACTGACAAAGATGTGATTAGTCTATAATTTTAATGGTAGGTTTATTTGAACAGTGAGAGACAGAATAACGACAACAAAATCCGGAAAAATGCATGTCAAAAATGTTATAAATTGATTTGCATTTTAATGAGGGAAATAAGTATTTGACCCCCTCTAAATCAGAAAGATTTCTGGCTCCCAGGTGTCTTTTATACAGGTAACAAGTTGAGATTAGGAGCACAGTCTAAAAGGGAGTGCTCCTAATTTCAGCTGTTACCTGCATAAAAGGCACCTGTCCACAGAAGCAATCAATCAATCAGATTCCAAACTCTCCACCATGGCCAAGACCAAAGAGCTCTCCAAGGATGTCAGGGACAAGATTGTAGACCTACACAAGGCTGGAATGGGCTACAAGACCATTGCCAAACAGCTTGGTGAGAAGGTGACAACAGTTGGTGCGATTATTCGCAAATTGAAGAAACACAAAATAACTGTCAATCTCCCTCGGCCTGGGGCTCCATGCAAGATCTCACCTCGTGGAGTTGCAATGATCATGAGAACGGTGAGGAATCAGCCCAGAACTACACGGGAGGATCTTGTCAATGATCTCAAGGCAGCTGGGACCACAGTCACCAAGAAAACAATTGGTAACACACTACGCCGTGAAGGACTGAAATCCTGCAGCGCCCGCAAGGTCCCCCTGCTCAAGAAAGCACATATAAATGCCCGTCTGAAGTTTGCCAATGAACATTTGAATGATTCAGAGGACAACTGGGTGAAAGTGTTGTGGTCAGATGAGACCAAAATGGAGCTCTTTGGCATCAACTCAACTTGCCGTGTTTGGAGGAGGAGGAATGCTGCCTATGACCCCAAGAACACTATCCCCACCGTCAAACATGGAGGTCGGAACATTATGCTTTGGGGGTGTTTTTCTGCTAAGGGGACAGGACAACTTCACGTCATCAAAGGGACGATGGACGGGGCCATGTACCGTCAAATCCTGGGTGAGGACCTCCTTCCCTCAGCCAGGGCATTGAAAATGGGTCGTGGATGGGTATTCCAACATGACAATGACCCAAAACACACGGCCAAGGCAACAAAGGAGTGGCTCAAGAAGAAGCACATTAAGGTCCTGGAGTGGCCTAGCCAGTCTCCAGACCTTAATCCCATAGAAAATCTGTGGAGGGAGCTGAAGGTTCGAGTTGCCAAACGTCAGCCTCGAAACCTTAATGACTTGGAGAAGATCTGCAAAGAGGAGTGGGACAAAATCCCTCCTGAGATGTGTGCAAACCTGGTGGCCAACTACAAGAAACGTCTGACCTCTGTGATTGCCAACAAGGGTTTTGCCACCAAGTACTAAGTCATGTTTTGCAGAGGGGTCAAATACTTATTTCCCTCATTAAAATGCAAATCAGTTTATAACATTTTTGACATGCGTTTTTCTGGATTTTTTTGTTATTATTCTGTCTCTCACTGTTCAAATAAACCTACCATTAAAATTAAAGAATGATCATTTCTTCATCAGTGGGCAAACGTACAAAATCACCAAGGGATCAAATACTTTTTTCCCTCACTGTATACACTACACTACTATACACTACACTACTATACACTAGCCAATGCTATACTACTATACACTACACTACTATACACTGCACTACTACACACTCGCCTATGCTACTCTACTATACAATACTATACACTGCACTACTATACACTAGCCAACACTACACTACTATACACTGCACTACTTTACACTAGCCTACACTACACTACTATACACTGCACTACTTTACACTACTATACACTAGCCTACACTACACTACTATACACTACACTACTATACACTACACTACTATACACTACACTACTATACACTAGCCTACACTACACTACTATACACTACACTACTATACACTACACTACTATACACTAGCCTACACTACACTACTATACACTACACTACTATACACTACACTACTATACACTGCACTACTATACACTCGCCTACACTACACTACTATACACTACACATTGGGCTTGTTGGAGGTCCGTCGTTAAGTGAATAGTCGTTAACAGGGGTGGTCGTTAAGAGGGGTTCGACTTTATTTATTTTTACGGGAGGCATCTGAAGAGTGCCAAGGTGGCTAGGAAATGTTAACTACCTCGCCGGTATGCAGGAGGTCGTGAGTTCGATCCCAACCCTGATAACGCCTGTAGCCACTGTGCCTAGTGAGATGTTGACTACCTCGCCTGGTCTGCAGGAGGTCGTGGGTTAAATCGATACCCTAACAACTCCTGTTGTCAATTTGGAGCCTGCGTCTCTCCCCCCTTGGTGGTTGCGTGGATTTTTCTCCGGGTCCTCCGCTTTTTTCCTCCACATTTAGAATCAAAATCACGCGTTGACAGCGCTTGGCTGCCGCTATAAATTTCCACGTGAGCTGCGATCATTGTGATGGCCGGGTCACCTCTGAAAAGAGACACGTAGCTCAGTGGGCCTTACACCGGGTCAAATACAAAATAGTTGAGTTTAGTTGTTTAGTTGAGCTATGAAGATATTTCTCACGCGGCGGGTAAGTGCGGTGGTGGTGCAGGCGTGGCGTGGGGGGCACTCGGTTTTTATGGCTGAGTCGATCTAGGGGGAGGGGGGTGCCCCCCGCACCCCCCCCCATCCCCCCAGGACTGAGTTCGATGGCACCGATGGTGGCCGTGAATGGGAATCGAACCTCAGGGTTCGTATCGCTAACCGCTGTGCCACCACTCGCTCCACACTCATAGACGGGGGCTGTGGTGATGTTGGTGATGTTGGTGTTGATGGTGGTGATGTCAGTGGTGGTCTCACTTGCTTTAAGCAGTCCCACCAGGGTATCCAATGCAGCTCTGAGAATAGAGAACCACAACCACACACACGCGTGTGGTCAGGTGCGTGGTTGCGAGAGAGTGTGCTTGAGTGAGTGTGGTGGAGTGAGCGAGTGTGAGTGCGTCTGGACCACACGATGGGTTCCGCAGGATTGGAAGGATGCCCTGGTGGTCCACACAGATTGTAAAAAACTACAGGGGCATCTCCCTCCTCAGTGTGCCGGGAAAGGTCCTGGCAAGGATTATTCAATATTACCTTGCCAGGCACGCTGATGAGAGGCTTGCGGAGCCCCAAATGTGGTTTCAGACCAAGGGTGGTCCTGCACGGATCCCATAATCTGTCCGTCTGCTACAGCAGAGGGGTGTGGGAATTCCAACAAGACCTAAATCTTTGCTTTATTAACTTGGTCAAGGCCTATGATACCATCAACAGGCCAGGGCTGTGGGCAGTTCTTGGTGTTTTTGGAGTCCCTGACTCTACTCACAATCACTAAGGGCCTTCATGATGGTGTGCAGGCCCGGGCAAAGCTACGTCGCCAGGAGTCGGAGCCATTCATAGTTCACCTTGGGGTGTGACAGGGATGTTCTCTGGCTCCCACATTATTTGACATCTTTGACTACATAGTTCGAGCAGCTTTCCATGGCTGTACCCGAGGAATTTCCATCTGGTACAGAAACAACGGGAGGCTGATCGATATCCGGGTGTGGTCAAGGGATGGCTCCCTATTGGTAAACCACGCTATGTATGTCGATGATCTGGTGACTGCTCACTCAGAACAGGAGTTGGAGGCGCTGCTGCTTGACCTGGAGCGTGCCACTAAGAGGTGGGGCCTTACCATCAGCCCCACCAAAACTAAGCACCTGCCTGGGTATTTTGTGTCATCAAACACTCCACCCCCTCAGCTCCCCATTGGTGATGGAGCAGTTGTGGAGAGAGTGGAGAGTTTCCCATACCTGGGCAGTGTGCTTATAACCGGCTCCAGTTTGCCAACAGAGGTCTTACTCCGCATCAGTCGGGCAGCATTATCTTTTCATCGGCTGCGCAATGCTGTGTGGATGCTACCTGGTCGGTCTCTCCGCACAAAGCTTTGGGTCTTCTCGGCCAGTCATGCCCTCCATTCTCTCCTTCTCTATGCTTGTGAAACGTGGACCCCGCTAATGGAACATCTGCACTAGTTAGAAACATTCAGGGTGGCATTCCAAAAATCCATCCTGGGTTTAACCAGGCTGGATTGTGTGAGGAGCTCACATTCCCATCAGTGAGCTCCTCCGGCAGGCAAGGCTGCGCTGGCTAGGTCATGTAGCCAGCATGCATGCCCAGCCCCCGCATGCCGAAACAGCTTTTGTTTGGCAGCATTGAGGGGGCTCAACGGGCACATGGGCTAGAGAAGAGATGGACTGATGCGGTACGGGAGGATGTGAAGCTGAGTGGACTTGCCGATGACTGGTACCAGTGGTGTCAATAACGGCCTCTGTGGAGGAGGCTCGTGAAGGACGCTACTGGGCAGTTGGAGGCAGTCGCCCTCCAACAATAACGGAGGGTGGAGGAGCGACGCTCACAACAACGAGCGGAGCGGCGGGTGGCTAAAGCACAGCAAGTTGGCATAGTAGGGGGCACAGGTGGTGCATCAGCCACTCATCTCGGTCAGTCGACCTGTGGCACCTGGGTCTGCCCCGTGACCTCCTGCCAGCGGGCGGTCGACACTTCACATGGCCTCAAGGTTCACCTAGCCTGGCACAGGTGCCATGGTGACGTCACCACCACTTAGTGGCGAATGGCAGTTGTTGTTGTGAGTGTGAGTGAGTGTGAGTGAGTGTGTGAGTGAGTGTGAGTGAGTGTGGTTACTTGGTAATGCCCGTGGGTCTCTGTATGGTGCTGCTGGCTGTGATTTTCATCACCAGATCCAAGGCTCCGGCTTTTCCCAGCAAACACGCATTGGTAGCTAAACGGAGCGGGCAGGGGGCGGAGCGGGTGGGTGGGTGAGTAGGTGGGTGAGTAGGTGGGTGAGTGGGTCAGTGGGTGGGTGGGTGATTGAGTGAGCGAGTGGGTGGATGGGGAGGGTGAGTGAGTGGGTGAGTATGAGTGAGTGGGTTGGTGAGTGAGTGGGTGAGTATGAGTGAGTGGGTTGGTGAGTGAGTGGGTGAATATGAGTGAGTGGGTTGGTGAGTCTTACTGTTATTGGCCAGAACTCTCATCAGCTGTAGAGACCCCAGCAGGAGTGAGGGACTGGAGTATGAGGGATTGGTGAGTGTGGGATTGGTGAGTGTGGGATTGGTGAGGGAGTGATTGGCGAGTGTGGGATTGGTGAGTGAGGAATCCGTAAGAGTGGGACTGGTGAGTGAGTGATTGGTGAGGGAGTGATTGGCGAGGGAGTGATTGGAGAGCGAGGGGCTAGTGAGTGTGGGATTGGTGAGCGAAGAATCCGTGAGTGTGGGACTGGTGAGTGAATGATTGGTGAGGGAGTGATTGGTGAGGGAGTGATTGGTGAGGGAGTGATTGGTGAGAGAGTGATTGTCGAGTGTGGGACTGGTGAGTGAGGGGCTGGTGAGTGAGGGGCTAGTGAGTGAGGGGCTGGTGAAGCTGCGTCTGGCGATAGTGAGCGTGGTGGTGAGCGTTCCAGATGCTCGTGCTCTCCCAGCGAACTTCTTGTCTGCAGGGAGAGGCCATAGGTGTGGTGTCAGTGCCTTGCACCACACCCCAGCACCGCACCACACCCCAGCACCACACCCCAGCACCACACTCCAACACCACACTCCAGCACCACACCCCAGCACCGCACTCCAACACCGCACCACACTCCAGCACCATACTCCAGCACCGCACCACACCCCAGCACTGCACTCCAACACCACACTCCAGCACCGCACTCCAACACCACACTCCAGCACCACACTCCAGCACTGCACTCCAGCACCACACTCCAGCACCGCACTCCAGCACCACACTCCAGCACCGCACTCCAGCACCACACTCCAGCACCACACTCCAGCACCACACTCCAGCACCACACTCCAGCACCGCACCCCAGCACCGCACCACACTCCAGCACCGCACCCCAGCACCACACCCCAGCACCGCACCACACTCCAGCACCACACCCCAGCACCGCACCACACTCCAGCACCGCACTCCAACCACACCCCCGCACCGCACCACACCCCAGCACCGCACTCCAACACCGCACCACACTCCAGCACCATACTCCAGCACTGCACCACACCCCAGCACCACACCACACTCCAGCACCGCACTCCAACCACACCCCAGCACCGCACTCCAGCACCGCACCACACTCCAGCACCGCACTCCAGCACCACACTCCAGCACCGCACTCCAACCACACTCCAGCACCACACTCCAGCACCGCACTCCAACCACACCCCAGCACCGCACTCCAACCACACTCCAGCACCACACTCCAGCACCGCACTCCAACCACACCCCAGCACCGCACTCCCGCACTGCGCAGGTGCGCTGGGGGGTTGTGTCCCCGTGTTTATTTGTGTTTCTGCTCCAGTGGTGACCGCATGTCCCCCGCGTGTCCCCCGCGTGTCCCACCAGGTGTCCGCCGCGTGTCCCACCAGGTGTCCCCCGCGTGTCCCACCAGGTGTCCCCCGCGTGTCCCACCAGGTGTCCCCCGCGTGTCCCACCACGTGTCCCCCGCGTGTCCCACCACGTGTCCCCCGCATGTCCCCCGCGTGTCCCCCGTGTGTCCCACCACGTGTCCCCCGCGTGTCCCACCACGTGTCCCCCGTGTGTTTCACCGCGAATGCCAAGGCTGGCGAGGGAGGTGAGGACGAGAGAGAGAAGTCTCTCTCTGTGCGGAGCGGAGTCGGAGCCACAGGGAGCGGAGACGCGAGCCAGGAGAGACAGGAGACACTGGGACGCTCCCAGCGAGACCAGCGCGGAGACACGGCACACACTGCCTGCAACACAGAGACGTGGGGAGATGATGCGGGGACACACACAGGAGACATGGACACACACACAGGAGACACACACAGGAGACACACACAGGAGACACACACAGGAGACACACACAGGAGACACACAGGGGACACACACAGGGAGACACACACAGGAGACACACACAGGGGACACACACAGGGGACACACACAGGAGACACACACAGGGAGACACACACAGGAGACACGGGGACACACACAGGGGACACACACAGGAGACACGGGGACACACACAGGAGACACACACAGGAGACACACAGGAGACACACAGGGGACACACACAGGGAGACACACACAGGAGACACACACAGGAGACACACACAGGAGACACACACAGGAGACACACACAGGAGACACACACAGGAGACACACAGGAGACACAGGACACACAGGAGACACAGGACACACAGGAGACACAGGACACACAGGAGACACAGGACACACAGGAGACACAGGACACACAGGAGACACAGGACACACAGGAGACACACACAGGGGACACACACAGGAGACACACACAGGAGACACGGGGACACACACAGGAGACACACACAGGGGACACACACAGGAGACACGGGGACACACACAGGGAGACACACACAGGAGACACACACAGGGGACACACACAGGGGACACACACAGGAGACACACACAGGGAGACACACACAGGAGACACGGGGACACACACAGGGGACACACACAGGAGACACGGGGACACACACAGGAGACACACACAGGAGACACACACGGGAGACACACAGGGGACACACACAGGGAGACACACACAGGAGACACACACAGGAGACACACACAGGAGACACACACAGGAGACACACACAGGAGACACACACAGGAGACACACACAGGAGACACACACAGGAGACACACACAGGAGACACACACAGGAGACACACACAGGGGACACACACAGGAGACACACACAGGAGACACGGGGACACACACAGGAGACACACACAGGGGACACACACAGGGGGGACACACAGGAGACACACACAGGAGACACACACAGGAGACACACACAGGAGACACACACAGGAGACACACACAGGAGACACACACAGGGGACACACACAGGAGACACACACAGGAGACACGGGGACACACACAGGAGACACACACAGGGGACACACACAGGGGGGACACACAGGAGACACACACAGGAGACACACACAGGGGGGACACACAGGAGACACACACAGGGGACACACACAAGGGGGACACACAGGAGACACGGGGACACACACAGAGGAGACACCCAGGAGACATGGACACACACACAGGAGACATGGGGACACAGACACACAGAGGGGACACACACAGGAGACACGGCGACACACAGGAGACACAGGGAGACACACACAGGAGACACACACAGGGGACTCACACAGGGGAGACACACAGGAGACACACACAGGAGACACGGGGACACACACAGGAGACACACAGGAGACACGGGGACACACAGGAGACACACAGGAGACATGGACACACACACAGGAGACATGGGGACGCAGACACAGAGGGGACACACACAGGAGACACGGCGACACACAGGAGACACAGGAGACACACACAGGAGACACACAAGGAGACACACACAGGAGACACACACAGGAGACACACACAGGGGACACACACAGGGGAGACACACAGGAGACACACACAGGAGACACGGGGACACACACAGGAGACACGGCGACACACAGGAGACACAGGGAGACACACACAGGAGACACACACAGGGGACACACACAGGGGAGACACACAGGAGACACACACAGGAGACACGGGGACACACACAGGAGACACACAGGAGACACGGGGACACACACAGGAGATACACAGGAGACATGGACACACACAGGAGACATGGGGACGCAGACACAGAGGGGACACACACAGGAGACACGGCGACACACAGGAGACACAGGAGACACACACAGGAGACACACACAGGGAGACACACACAGGAGACACACACAGGGGACACACACAGGAGACACACACAGGGAGACACACACAGGGGACACACACAGGAGACACACACAGGGGAGACACACAGGAGACACGGGGACACACACAGGGGACACACACAGGAGACACAGGGAGACACACACAGGGGACACAGGGAGACACACACAGGAGACACACACAGGAGACACACACAGGGAGACACACACAGGAGACACAGGGAGACACACACAGGGAGACACACACAGGGGAGACACACAGGGAGACACACACAGGAGACACACACAGGGAGACACACACAGGGAGACACACACAGGAGACACACACAGGGAGACACACACAGGCGACACACACAGGGAGACACACACAGGGAGACACACACAGGGAGACACACACAGGAGACACACACAGGGAGACACACACAGGAGACACGAGGACACACACAGGGGACACATACAGGGGAGACACACACAGGCGACACACACAGGGAGACACACACAGGGAGACACACACAGGGAGATACACAGAGGAGACACGAGGACACACACAGGGGACACATACAGGGGAGACACACACAGGCGACACACACAGGGAGACACACACAGGGAGACACACACAGGGAGACACACACAGGGAGACACACACAGGAGACACACACAGGCGACACACACAGGGAGACACACACAGGGAGACACACAGGGAGATACACAGAGGAGACACGAGGACACACACAGGGGACACATACAGGGGAGACACACACAGGAGACACACACAGGCGACACACACAGGGAGACACACACAGGAGACACACACAGGGAGACACACACAGGAGACACACACAGGACACACACACAGGAGACACGAGGACACAAACAGGAGACACACACAGGGGAGACACACAGGGGACACACACAGGAGACACACACAGGGAGACACACACAGGAGACACGGGGACACACACAGGGGAGACACACAGGAGACACACACAGGAGGGAGACTTCTGCACGATGTCCACATTGGCTCTTCCATCGCTAATCTGAGGTTCAGCTGGTACCAGAACGTAACAGGTACTTACTTTAGGGCCCAGACTTACCTCCTCGCAGGAGATCGGCCAGAACCACGAGGAGGTTAAGACAAGTCTCATCATCTGGGCACGCCTGTGGAGACACGGAGATACACAGACAGACTCACACAGATACATGGGTATAGTGGGACATGCAGACCCGCAGAGACTCAAAGACAAAGAGCCCCTGTAAAGCCTTAACATACTGTTGGGGCAAGTGCTGTTCGCGAGCACCTATGACTCATGCACAGATTCACACAGAGACACACACACACAGATTCACACAGAGACACATACAGATTCACATAGAGACACACACACACAGACTCACATTGAGACACACAGAAACATAGACAGACTCGCACATAGACACAGATACATACAGAGACACGCACAGACACACAGACTCACACAGCGACACAGAGATATACAGACTCACACAGAGACTTACACAGACACAGTGACACACAGACTCAAAGTCACCCACAGATGAATGGAAAGGAGAACCAGAAAGACATAGGGGGGCTTGGGGAAGGGGTGACGCAGAGGGGAGAGGCAGAAAAGGGGAGAGTGAATTCACCTCCAGTGTGTGGAGCAAAACTTCTACACCAGACAGATCCACGTCCCTCCCGTGTCTCTCTGTAATCAGCAGCAGCAGCATCACGATCATCGTCAGAGAGAGAGAGACACGGAGAGACACAGAGAGACATGGGGAGACAACGTGGATATGGAGACAGAAGAAGACAAGGGGGAGACAAAAAGAGAAAGACAGAGACACGGACACAGAGAGAGATAGGCACAGAGTGTATCTGTACCTCGAGAGACGCAGTGCGTCATGGAGACACGGGGAAACACAGGGACATGCAGAGAGACACGTGGAATGCCGGGGACACACACACAGGGAGACACAGGACATGGAGACAGCAAGACTGCCACTTCAGAGCGACTTTCCGTGTCTCCGAGCCAAAGGGTATTTTGGGTTTTCTGAGCCACACTGGGGGGGTTACACAAAGACACACACCACACACACATGGATCGCAAAAACACACACACACAGATATACATACAACAACCCCGCCATTCACCACCAAGTGGCGGTGACGTCACCGCAGCACTTGTGCCAGGCTATGTGCACTTTAAGGCCACGTGAAGTGTCGAACGCCCGCTGGCAGGTCACGGGACACACCCGGGTGCCATGGGTTGACTGATTGAGACGACTACTGGCAGATGGCAGTCTAGGACCGCTCCCCACAAAGATAAATACAGCAAGATACACACACACACATGCGCGTGTGTGTACACAACTCACCCACTCTCACACAGACTCTCAGTCTCTCTCAGTGGGAGAGCCATGTTCCCGTGAACAGGCCCCATGCCAGGCTCACTCCTCGCCTGGCTACTGCCGTGATTGATCACCGGCATTCCTCTCGCACGCGGCAGGAGATGGTCACTGGGTCTCACTCACTCGCTCCTCACCCGCTCACGAGCTCACCTACTCACTCATCTACTCATTCGCTCACTCACTCACCTACTCATTCGCCTGCTCACTCACCTGCTCATTTTCTCACTCACTTATCGCCTCACTCACTTGCGCACTCACTCGTTCACTCGCCTACTCACGGGTTGTCCCTCACCTGCTCACGCATTAAATTACTTACTCACCTGCTCACCCACTCACACTCAATATTCACCTGCTCAATCGCTAATTAATTCACTCACCTGCTCAGTGGGTGATTGGGTAGGTGAATGAGTGGGTGAATGAGTAGGTAAGTGGGTGAGTGGTTGGGTCAGTGAGTGAGAATGCAGAGTGAGAGTGAGTGAGTGGGTGAGTGAGTGAGAGTGAATGGGTGAGTGAGCGAGCGATAGTGAGTGGGTGAGTGAGAGCGAGTGGGTGAGTGAGAGAGAGTGAGTGAGTGGGTGAGTGAGAGTGAGTGAGTGGGTGAGTGAGCGTGAGTGGTTGGGTCAGTGAGTGAAAGTGAGTGGGTGAGAGTGAGTGAGAGTGAGCGATAGTGAGTGGGTGAGTTAGTGAGCGATAGTGAGTGGGTGAGTGAGAGCGAGTGGGTGAGTGAGAGTGAGTAGTTGGGTCAGTGAGTGAGAAGGTGAGTCGGTGAGTGAGAGGGTGAGTGAGTGGTTGCGAGTGAGTGGGTGAGTAAGAGTGAGTGGGTGAGAGTGAGTGGATGTGTGAGAGCGAGGGAGTGGGTGAGTGAGTGGTTGGGTCAGTGAGTGAAAGTGAGCGGGTGAGAGTGAGCGATAGTGAGTGGGAGAGTGAGAATGAGTGGGTGAGAGGGTGAGTGAGAGTAAGTGGGTGAGCGTGAGTGAATGGGTGAGGGTGAGCGATAGTGTGTGGGTGAATGAGAGTGAGTGCATGGGTGAGTGAGTGAGTGTGGTTGGGTCAATGAGTGAAAGTGAGTGGGAGTGAGCTATAGTGAGAATGAGTGGGTGAGTGGGTGGGTGAGTATGAGGGTGAGTGGGAGTGGGTGAGAGTGGGTGAGAGTGAATGGGTGAGGGTGAGCGATAATAGTAGTGAGTGAGTGAAAGTGAGTGGGTGAGAGTGAGTGGGTGAAAGTGCGTGGGTGAGTGAGAGTGAGTAGGTGAGTGAGTGGGTGAGTAAGAGGATGAGTGAGAGTGGGTAAGAGGGTGAGTGAGAGTGAATGGGTGAGGGTGAGCGATAATAGTAGTAAGTGAGTGAGTGAAAGTTAGTGGGTGAGTGAGAGTGAGTGGATGAAAGTGCGTGGGTGAGTGAGAGTGAGTAGGTGAGTGAGTGGGTGAGTAAGAGGGTGAGTGAGAGTGGGTAAGAGGGTGAGTGAGAGTGAATGGGTGAGAGTGAGCAATAGTGAGTGGGTGGAAGTGCGTGGGTGAGAGGGTGAGTGAGTAGGTGAGTGAGATGGTGAGTGAGTGAGTGGGTGAGTGAGAGGGTGAGTGAGTGGGTGAGTGACTGGGTGAGTGAGAATGAGTGGGTGATTGAGTGGGAGAGTGAGAGGGTGAGAGAGTGGGTGAGAGTGACTGGGTGAGTGAGAATGAGTGGGTGATTGAAAGGTTGAGTGAGAGGGTGAGTGGGTGAGTGAGTAGGTGAGTAAGAGGGTGAGTGAAAGGGAGAGTGAGTGTATAACCGTCTGCATCCATTGCTCTTGGCTGCACTGTGAGTCGCAAATGCTCATCTGCATCAGTCTAGCCCTCTACCTCGCCTCTCTACCCTCTTCTCTCTCCTTCGCTCTCCTTTCTCCATCTCCCCCCCCCACCCTCTTCCCCCTCTTCCAGTCACCCGAGTGGCCACGCTCTCAGCAGGAATGTCTCTCCTCCAAATTCTAAATTCTCAAAGCATCATCAATCGCAGCGATGTCAGAGACGGGGCTCAGGGATGGGGTGAGTGAGTGAATAGGTGAGTGAGTGGTAGGGGTAGAGGTAGTGGATCTGGTTAAACCTTTGTGGGTGAGTGAGTGAGAGGGTGAGGTAGTGAGGGAGAGGGTGATTAAGTGGGTGAGTGGCGGGGTGGAGTGCACGAGTGGGTGAGTGAATGAGTAACAGCGTGTGTGTGATAATCATCAGATACACAAAAAGACCCCCGTATAGCTTTCAGCAGACTGTTAGGGCAAGTGCTGTTAGTGAGCACCTATGAAGGCTGGCACAATACACGAGAGAGTGGGTGGCCAACACAACGCCCGGCCGCCTTTGTCTCCCCAGTCGCGATGTTTACACACCAAACCAGGTACTCATTTGCGGCTGAGTCGACCTAAGGGAGGCCCAGGACCAGTTTAGATAATCGTCACCGGTGTTGGTTGTGAGCGGGAATCGAACTCGGGGTTTTCCAAGTTTGTAGCGTAGCGTGCAAACAGCTGTGCTACCCCTCCCCATAATCACTGACACTAACAAACACCGACAAAGCCAGACTGCGGCTCCCATCGGGCTCTGTTAATCACCGAGACTCACAGAGCGAGAAAGAGGCATGCTCACACGTATATGCATTCACACACTCGCATACACTCACACACTCGCGCACACGCATACACTCACGCACACTCACACACACTCAGCTGTCTGTACTGGTGACTCTTAATCCCCAAAGAGCTATTTTAAACGTTTAGGGGCCACACGATCACTCAACCGCACTCAACCACTCCACCGCACTCCACCAATGGCACTTAATCATGCTCAACCACTAGTCACCCCCACACAAATATACCAATGTATGTGTGTGTGTGGTGTGTTAGTGGAGAGCGATGGTGCAGCGGTTAGCGCACTGCGCTGCAAAAGCAATAGAGAACCGAGTTTGATTCCTGCTCACGGCCAACACCAGTGACAGCGATGAAACACAAACCGGTCTACAGCCAAAATGCTTCCGAAATACTCTTTGGTTCTTTCGGTAAAGTCACGTAGGTGGGAAAAATAATAAAAAATGAAATAAATTAAATTGCGACGTTTTGATTGCAACACAAGCAATCATCATGAGGTGTGAACAACCACAGCAAGAAATCTTTTTGCCTGAAGTGGGAGAGAAGCCAGAGTTAGGGCGGCATCTCTTGAGGAAAGTTATCGTCTCGATTAGCTGTGATTTCTTGTCCCGTTGTCTGTTAAAAGCTCTATCAGATAAGTGGAATCCCTCCCCGTAGAGGTGGTTCTTTCTGGATTTGAGGTTTTGCAAGGATCCTTGCAATCGAAACGTCGTGATTTAATTTATTTTAATTTTGTATTATTGTTTCTTCCACCTACGTGACTTTTCCAAAAGAACCAAAGAGTATGGATCCTTGCAGTCACGAAAACTTAAAATCTAGAATGCTTCCGAAATAAATGTAGTCCAACTTGACTAATTCTGGGTCACTGAGAATGAAAATGATTTTTCAAAATTGTTGATTGGCTCTAGTTTTCAAGACATGCTATTGGGTCAGTATACAAGACCCTTGATTTGACAATGCCGGAGGATAAGTGAGTTATACAGGGAAGGGATCTCAATTTAAACCAGTAATGACAAAAATACATATTTGACTGGATCTATGAATAAATGTATAACTGGGTTTGGACAGTCCTTGCTTTTTGAGCAAAAAATGAATGATGCAATCTGAACCTGGTCTCGCATCATACATAATATGAATTGCATCATGTTATTCCTAGAAGTCATGGATGACGCAATCATAACAAGCCTTACATCCCTCTGCTCAACAAATTGCCCTGTATCAGCTCTAGAACTCAAGTGTCGTGCTCTCTTATTTGTCAATGTTTGATTTTGCAAAGAGACACATTTCTGTTTAGCCAAGGTGAGCAGAGAGATGCCTCGCACTTGTGGAAACAAAGCAGATCACTTCTGCTATGTTTGTGTGGAGGTGACTTTTGCATCACAAAAGTGCAGTATAACCACTATGGTTAAGAAAGCCTATCACCTTTATTTCGGCTGCAAAATTGAAGAGCATGACAAGATGTAGGCCCCACACATATGCTGCAACACTTGTGCACAAATCTTCGCCAGTAGTTGAACAGGAAAAGGACATCTATGCCTTTTGCAGTGCCAATGATTTGGAGAGAGCCAACAGATCACATCAGCAAGTTACTTCTGCATGGCGCCTCCAGTTGGGAAAGGTGTGTCAAAGAAGACAAAGTGGACTGTGCATTATCCAAACATTCCATCGGCTAAACGCCAAGTACCCCACGGTGAAGGACTGCCGGTTCCTGATGCACCAGGATCATTCTCACTTGAGTCAGACGAGGAAGAGGATGAAACTTCTGGTCCTGAACCATCAAGGTCACATGACCCAGATTTTCTCCCATCCTCCTCCTCTGGACCACACCTCATACCACAAGGTGAACTGAAAGACCTTGTCAGGCATTTGGAACTACCCAAGAGTAAGGTGGCAGAGCTGTTGGGCTCCAGACTGCAGCAGTGGAATCTCCTGGCAGGTGATGTGAGGGTTTCCATATTCCGTGAACGTCAAAGGGATCTTGTCCCATTCTTCTTCATGGAATGTGATCTTGTAGCCTGCAACAACGTCGATGGTGTGATGGCAGCCCTGAACAGCTGAGAATAGGTTTTCCCCTTTTTTCTGGAAACAAAAGGAGAAAACCTATTCTCATATTTTGGTACTGGCAAAGGAGGTCCCATGATGAAGCCCTCAACATCGTTCATGATCCAGATGAGTGGAGACTGTTCATTGATTCATCAAAGATGAGTCTTGAAGGTGTTTTGCTGCATAATGGCAATGTTTTGCCATCAATTCCAGTTGGTCATGCAGTCCATATGAAGGAAACCTGTGACAACATGAAACAACTTTTGAGGTGCATAAACTATGACCAACATCAGTGGCAGCTTTGTGGCGATTTGAAGGTTGTTGCTCTCTTACTTGGTCTGCAGACTGGATACACAAAGTACTGCTGCTTTCTCTGCGAATGGGATAGTCGTGCGAGAGATTCCCACTACATCAAGATAGATTGGCCACTCAGACAGTCGTTGGAGCCTGGGAGGAAACGTGTTCAGCATCCACCACTTGTTGAATCAAGGTAGATTTTGTTACCACCCTTACACATCAAGCTGTGTCTGATGAAGTACTTTGTCGAAGCCATGGACAAAACACAAGCAGCTTTCAAGTATCTCCGTGGAAAATTTCCAAGGTTAAGTGAAGTTAAGATAAAGGAGGGTGTCTTTGTTGGTCCTCAGATTCGTGAACTTCTTCGAGATGATGCATTTGACAGTGCGCTGTGTGGCAAGGAAAAGACGGCATGGAACGCCTTCCAGTTAGTGGCAACACATTTTCTTGGAAACAACAAGGCAGAAAACTACAGGGAGTCGGTGGAAAACCTCCTCCAGGCATACAAAAGCCTTGGTTGCAACATGTCACTAAATATACATTTTCTGTACTCTCATCAAGATTTTTTCCCACCGAACTGCGGAGCAGTGAGCGACGAGCATGGCGAGCGATTTCACCAGGACATTGCAACGATGGAGAAACGCTATCGGGGCAAATGGAGCCCATCAATGCTGGCAGACTATTGCTGGACAGTAACAAGAGATGCTCCATTTAATGAATACAAGAGACAAGCCAAAAACCGCCAAGTAGACACTGAATTAGGACTAAACTATGTACTTATATATTGTGCAGTAGACCACACGGAGACGGGATTTACCATAAGGGCTGTTGCCGTTTATTAACACTGTTTCACACAACACTGTAACTCACACCAGAGGTAGGTGCTCTCTATTCTTGGTCCTTACCCTTGAGCCCCGAACTCTATATTGTCCTACCCTCGGCTATCCCTTGGGGCTCTCTCACTCGTCTGACCAGAGCGGGGGTTCATCCAACACCACCCGGCGACGAGGAGAGAGAACCCTCTCTCTCTCTCAGCCGATTCTTACCGATTACTCGGAGCCCTGCTCTCGGCTATCCCTTGGCTCTCCCACTCGTGTGCACGGGACGGGGGTTCATCCAACACTGCCCGGCGACGAGGAGGGAGAGACCTCTTCCAGCCGATCCTCGCCCTGGCTTCCCACAACGACCACGCCTTCGTCACGGGGTCCCCCTAAAGTACCCCTTTGGCGGCTCCTCCCCCTAGCTCAGATACACCTTTGTTCCCGAAGGTACCCCCCCTTACAGCCCCCGTGACATGACGTCATCCTCGGCTGTCAACTCGCTCGCACCTCCCTCTGTTCGCTCCCTCGTGGTTGCTCACACTACTCCTCTGCATATACATGATAATTTTTTGCTTTTTGTTTCATAATAAATGTTTGTATACAACACTTTTGCTGATGTTTTAAGTGTTACATGAACAGGGCAGGTGACATGTGATCATGTAAAGCAGCCATAAACACATAAAAAAACCTAGGTTTACAATTTATGAGTAAAACTCTATCTACGCTATACATAGACGTAAAATGTAAAAACTTAAATATCCTGGAAACAGTAGCCAATCAGTTGATTTAATTGTCATATTGAATTCAGCACATCAAAATCCATAATAAACAGCATATTTAATCTCTGAAGCAGACGACGTCCATAAAATTGTAGAGCCAGTCCTGGGCCTCCCCTAGGTCGACTAAGCCTCAACTGAGTACCTGGTGCAGTGTGTAAACATCGCCACTGGAGAGACAAATGCGGCCTGGCATGACGCTGGCCACCTACCCCCTCGTGTCCCGCGGCGGCCTTAATAGGTGCTACATGCCAACAGCACTTGGACTGAAGTCCCTCTCATTGATTCACTCACCCCGAGTCACTCACCAGGACTCAACTCCACATCTTGATGGAGACTTCTCCACGTTGATTTCACATCTACACAGAGAGATGCAGAGAGATACACAAAGAGACAGATACAGAGGTGCACACATAAAGTAAGATACAGAGATAAACACAGAGATATTTACAGAGATTCAGAGGTACACAGAGAGATTCAGAGATATAGATAGAGGTACACAGAGGCCAATCTTGACACCGCTGGTACCAGTCATTGGTCAGTTAAATCAGCTCCATATCCTCCTATACCGTATAAGTCCATCTCTTCTCTGGCCCATGCAGCACCTGAGCCCCCTCCATCTAGCCAAACGGAAGCTTCTTAGGCATATGGTGGCTGGGCATGCAGCTACATCCATGGAAAGCTTCTTGAACGACGTGGTCGAAGATTAAGTTAAATAATGTGGGAGCCAGAGGACATCTCTGTCGCACCCCAAGGTGAACAGGGAATGGCTCTGACTCCCAGACACGCAGCTTTATCCAGGCCTCCCCACTTTTATGAAGCCCCTTAATTATTGTGAGCAGTTAGCCAGGGACCCCGAAAGCATGAAGAACCCAGAACCCTGGCCTATTGATGGTATCATAGCAGACAGACAGAGAATATGGCATTTGTGCAGGACTGCTCTGGCCACATTGGAGATCCGCAAGCCTCTCCTCAGCTTGCCTCGCAAGACGATGTTGAATAATCCTTGCCAGGACCTTTCCCAGCACACTGAGGAGGGAGATGCCCCTGTAGTTGTTACAGTCTGTGCGGTCCCCCTTCTTAAAGAGGGGGACCACCAGCGCATCCTTCCAATCCTACAGAACCCATCCACTGGTCCAGACTGTTATGTCATATGGGCAGTCTGCGCACAAACGCCACCCCCCTTTAGAATTTAAATTTGGAGATCATCTCTGCCCGGCACTTTTCCTGCACTCAGACTCTCGATCGCCTTCAGTACTTCCTCAACAGATGGCATTTCAGCTAGCCACTCACAGGGAGTCACTACTTTCAATATTTGAGGCACCGCAGCCTCAGCAGGGTCATCCCCAGTTTGCCCCATGATGTTTTCCATGCTGAGGGATTTCCCCTTCCCCAAGACCTCACAGAAATGCTCAGAAAATCTGCAAACCTGTTCCTGGGGGTTGGAGATCAGATCACTTATCTTTCCCCTAATGATGGTGATAGGTGTGGCGCTGCAGATTACTTTTTTGATGGAGTTAAAGAGTGATTTACGATCGCGGGCTGCTGAGGCAAACGCCATCTCCTCAGCAATCCACGACCACTGCCCATTCTTGCAGCGCCACACGGCTCTCCGAACCTCAGAGCGAAGGTTGCAGTGAGCCTCCTCATTCTCTGACATGGTATGCTGTAGACAGTAGGAGTGGGCCTGTCGCTTTTTCTCAGCCAGCCAAAACACCTCCTCCGTCAGCCAGGGCCTCTGGGGAGGCTTAGGCCATGTGCCCAAAGCAGCCATTGAAGCTGCATGAGCCACAGTCCAAAACCTCGCCCATTTCCCCTCGTCATCAGGAAGAGGATGCCAACCCCACCTGCAAGTGATGATGAGACCAATCACTGTGGGTTTTAATGGGGTCCTACATGTACACCCACCACCAGAGTGGAAGAATGGCAAGCGCATCTTACAGATGACAAGCCGATGGTCAGTGGGCAGATCAGATCCACGGTAGGTTTTGGTGTCAAGGACGTGGGCCCGCATCCACTGTTCCGTCACTATATAGTCCAGCAGACATTTTTGCTTAGACCCAGCATGCATCCATGACATTGTGTGGATGCGCCGATGACAAAACAGCGTATTGATAATTACCAGCCCATGAGCTGCACAGAAGTCAAGCAGCCTTCTAGCGTTGTTATTCAGATGGTCTGGGCCATGCCTTCCAATCACTCCAGACCAGGTGCTTCTGGCACAAGCTTAGCTTGATATGTTTCACGTAGTTTTGTGGTAATTAATTAGAGCCCCCATTTGGCCTCTGTGGTGGCTACAAGCGCCATCAAGGAAAACGCCGATTTTTGAATTGGCCTCCCCTCCATGGCATTGCTCACATCAAACACAGCGTTACTGTCCGGCACCACCGTGGAGGTAGGGGGTTGTTTTTGCCAGACACACATACACACTGTCACACACACGCACAGTACACTCGCCTTGCTCTCTCACGCTGTGCAGGATCTCTGCTGAGATGCTCCGCGTCTCCGTGAGATCCTGGGGGGGGTCCTCACTGTCCCTGCACAACTGGGCCCCCCCCCCAAGGTTCCCCAAGGCGCCCCGATCCCCCCAGCTCCTCGCCAGCCGCTTCAGCAGTCCTGGCAGACTATGAGGCACAATTTGCGGATTAATTACTCTCGCTCTGTGAGCATCAGTGGTTAACACCGAACCCTATGGGATCCTTCTTCTGGTTCTGTATAAAGCAATGATTAACAGTGACATTTTAAAAACTAAACATTTTTTCCAGGTAAGGCCCACTGGGCTATGTAGCTTCTTTTGCCGAAGTGACCTTGCCACAAATGACAGCTCGACAAAGTGGCTTATCATCATGTGGAAATGTAGACCAGCCAAATACTCTGACCGTGTGATGATGATTCTAAATGTGGAGGGAAAAACTGGAGGACTTGAAGAAGTTTTCACTCGACCACGGGGGGAGACAGAGAGATACAGATTGCAAATATACAACAGACATCATCAGGGTTGGGATCGAACCTACGATCCCTGCATACCAGGTGTGGTAGTTAACATCTCGCCACCATGGCACCCCACAGTGGCAAACACTCCCAGAGCCTTAGTCTGGGTCTGCAAGTTTCGGTGATTAACACTGTGAACCGAATGGCAGCCTTAGTCTGGCTCTGTGTTTCCGAGTGTGTGTGTCTCTGTGTGTCCCTATGTGTGTCCCTATGTGTGTCCCTATGTGCGTCTCTATGTGCGTCTCTATGTACGTCTCTGTCAGTGTAACTCTACCCTGCCTGGCTAATGAGGAATCTTTAAATACAGCTGATGCCATCACTGGCTCAGACACATACAAACACGTACAAATGTCCCCCGTGTAGCCCACACAGGCTCTTGGGTCAAGTGCTGCTAACAAGTAGCACCTATTAAACGTCATGGCCCCTTTTGTCTCCCCAGTGCTGATGTATGATATATCCCGCACTAGGTACTCATTTAAGGCTGAGTGGACCCAGGTGAGGCTCAAGACCAGTTCAGATATTTACCACTGTGGGCCGTGACCCAGAGACACTGGGACATGGCGACACAGACATACACGGGGAAAGACACACAGAAACACACGGAGAGACAAATGGAGAGACACACGGAGAGACACACGGAGAGACACACGGGAGGTGGACACACATTGAAACACGGGGACATGGAGACACACGGAGACACATGGAGACACACCACGCAAAGACACGGGGATGCGGAAACACGGAGTAGACACGTGGTGGAGATGCTGTCTCCGCCTCACCCGTTGTCCGCTAGGTCTCTCCGCTGGGTCGTGGCGTCCGACGGCTGCAGTCCATGTCTCTCTCCCCTGTCTCCACTGTCTCCGGGAGACACGGCAGGCGAGATGCACACACGGGGGGGTGGGGTAGGTCAAGTGGCTCACCCAGAGGTCACCATCCAACATCAGGCATTCTTTATCCACTGCTGGAGGAGGATGGGGAGGTGGAGGTAGGGGAGGGGGGTCTGTGTGTGTACGAGGGGGGTGCGGTAGTGTAGTGGTTAGCGCGGCTGTTTAATGAACCTGGCGACCAGAGTTCGATTCCCACTCATGGCCAACACCAGTGACCATTATCTGAACCGGTCCCGGGCCTCCCCTAGGTCGACTCTGCCTCAAATGAGTACCTGGTACGGTGTGTAAACGTCATCACTGGGGAGACAAATGCGGCCGGGCGTGGTGCTGCCCACCCACCCCCTCATGTGCCGTGCCGGCCTTTATAGGTGCTCGCTAACAGCACTTGCCCAAACAGTCTGTTAAGGCTATACGGGGAATATTTGTCTTGTGTGTGTATGAGTGCGTGTGTGTGTGTATGAGTGTGTGTGAGTGTGTGTGTATGAGTGTGTGTGAGTGTATGTGTGCATGTCTGTTTCTTGGGTTTCAATGGCTGGCAACACCGCAATGCGTAATAGCGCTGCTGTGTCAAACACAAGACAAAGTTCCCCCGTATAGCCTTCAAAGACTGTTAGGGCAAGTGCTGTACGTGAGCACCTACCAGGGGGTGGGCGGACACTCATAAACACACGCACTCATAGATACACACTCACACACACTCATAGTTAGTCTCACAACCACTCATAGATACACACACACATAGATACACACTCACAGCCACTCATAGATACACACACTCTTAAACACACACACTCACACTAATAGATACACACACTCATAGATGCACTCACAACCACTCGTAGATACACTCACACACTCAAACACACACACACATAGATACACACTCACAGCCACTCGTAGATACACACTCACACACACTCATAGACACACACACACTCATAGATACACTCACAACCACTCCTAGATACACACACTCATAGATACACACTCACACACACGCATAGATACACACACTCATAAACACACTCAAAGATATACAAACTCACAAATGCACACACACTCACTTAAAGATACATACATTCACTCACAGAAACACACATTCACACTCACAGATACACACACACATAAACACTCACCGACTCACTCAGATAAACTCACGTACTCACTCATAAACACACACTCATATATAGATAGATACACACACTGATACACACTCGTACATACACACGGACTCTCACGCATGAAGTGACGGTGACGTCACCGCAGATTGTGCCAGGCTAGGTGCACTTCTGTCTGTGCACACACTTGTACGCAGACACGCATGCACACTTGGTGAACATACTTCTGCATAATGCAGTACGTTTACAAGTCAGACGTGAGTAAGTGGTTACAATTAACACAACATAATTACAACTATACAAATTAACACAATTAAACTAACATTGGACACCACACTCGCAACACGACGTAACAATGCGGCAATTCTCTTGGTTATAATCAAGAGAAACGTGTGTGTTGATCGTTATCTACAGACGCGTAAATCATTAAAACCTTACAGATACATTAAAACGCGTGCTAAAATATTCGCATTAATTAGAAAAATTAATATGGTAATATAACTCTGAGTAATGGACACAGACCCCACACCACTACATCTCAAGTAACAGGACCCAGATAAATGCAAACCTTGAAGATACATTCAAGTTAATTGTTGAATGACTACGGTTTTATAAAGAGTAAGATTATAAAGATAGTAATAATAATGTAACGAAGGCTGGTTACTCACACGTAGATGAGCACGTGTACTGTGTGCAGCAGTGTAACTCACTATATACAAATACACAATTAAAACAATAACAATGATGATATACAAATACACAATTAAAACAATAACAACAATGATGATATACAAATACACAATTAAAACAATAACAACAATGATGATGACACACGGTAGGAGGCAATTTTACCAAAATGATGTGTTACAAAAGTAATGTTATATAATTAGTAATGTTATAATAAGTAATGTTATAATTAGTAATGTTATAATAAGTAATGTTATATAATAATTAATGTTATATAATTAGATTGTGCACTTATATAATAGTGAGTCAATGTGATGGCTTTGTGACACACATGCACAACCATCCACATCTTGTGTAAGTAGGACACGCGAATAATGAACTATGAAACAGGTAAACATTTGTAAAGGGCGTGATCTGAGCGTAGCTTTTTCACTCCAGCGCTGTCCTACCAGACAGTCTCGTCCCTTCACCTGATGAAGGCCGCTTGTTGTGGCCGAAACGTCGTGAGAATATTATTGTTATTTTATTTTATCAATTTAATATTTTATTCTCATTCTACGTGACTTTACCGAAAGAACCAAAGAAGAGGTAAACATTAATATATATACACACATACGTTTGTAAAAAAATATATAATCAAGGTTTTTTTTTTAAGTACGAGGTAATTGGTGATATTCACAAAATGTGTGCGTTATTTCTTAACATAGCTTACACATCAAATCAAGATAGAGCTTACACGCGATAACTATTAACACAAAGTGTAAAAAATAAAGTTTTAAAAATAAGGCAATAATCATGTTTTTTATGATTGCGTAATGACCCGTTCAATATCGGTTACGTAACAATGCAGCATTTTATCAGTACAGCATAAACTCCCTAAAATTAGGACCAAAACAATTAAACGAACAAAATAAATCAACAATAACAACAAGTCTCAACAATAAATAAGCAGGCGCGCTATGAAACAAATGACGCTTAAAATCGCTTCGCTCCAAAGCCGGCAGACGGGGGCCTACCTCGATGTGGTGAAGCCTACGCCTTGCCTGGCCAGCCTGCCCGCCTGCCGTACCTCTGCCGTCGAAGACATTTCACCTCTTTTTTTTCCGGCTCTCCCCGTCGCAGCGAGAGACGCGCGCGGGCAAAGCTGCGTCCGAATCGACAGCTTTTAGGTCTCCAATTGACGCGGGGAGGTGGAAAAGTGACGGAGGAAAGAGATAGGCGGGGCCCGCCGGACTAGGCCGCGTTGTCACGGCAACGATCCTCTGCGGTCCACGGGCTGCTGTGGCAACAGAGCCGTGACGTCACGCGGGGCGTGTTCTCGTGGGCGGATTGCGGTGACACGTCCCGGGGGGCGTGGCTCCGCCGTGTGCCATGCGGCGAATGGGGCCCGAGGAGCCCCCCCCCCCCACTTTGGGGCTGCCCCGGGCTGCAGGTGACGAAGGTCGCTGTGTTACAGCCTGGCACAAGCGTCGTGGTGACGTCACCGCCACTTAGTGGCGAATGGCGGTGGTTGTTGTGTTACAGCGGTGAGCGCCACGCTGCGCTATGAACCTGGCGACCCGGGTTCGATTCCCGCTCACGGCCAACACCTGTGACGATTATCTGAACCGGTCCCGGGCCTCCCCTATGTCGATTCAGCTTCAAATGAGTACCTGGTGCGGTGTGTAAACATCGCCACTAGGGAGACAAAGGCGGTCGGGCGTGGTGCTGGCCAGGGTTAGGGGGTTAACCCCTAAACCCTAACCCCTAACCCTAGACCCCTAACCCTAACACCCTAACAGCCTAACCCTACCCCTTAACCCTAACCCCTAATTGCTCTAACCCTAACCATAACCCTAATAATTCTTACCCTAATAACCCTAACCTTAATAACCCTAATAACCCTAATCCCTAACCCTAATTGCTCTAACCCTAAACCCTTATAACCCTAACCCGTAACCCCAAACCAAACCCCTAACCCTTATCCCTAACCCTAAACCCTAAACCAAACCCTAACCCTTAACCCCAACCCTAAACCCTAACCCTAAACCCTTTAACCCTAACCCAATAACCCTAACCCAATAACCCTAACCCTATGACCCTACAACTCTAACCCTATAACCCTAACCCTTAACCCCCTAACCCTTAACCCTAACCCTAAAACCCCCTAACCCCAAACCCCAACCCCTAACCCTACACTATACACTACTATACACTATACACGACTATACACTACACTATACACTACTATACACTACACTATTATACACTACACTATACACTACACTATACACTACTATACACTATACACGACTATACACTACACTATACACTACACTATTATACACTACACTATACACTACTATACACGACTATACACTACACTATACATGCGCGAGTGACGTCTGACAGCGGCAACTGCTGATGTACTGTTGGCCTGTACTGCACATGTCCACCACATAGACAACCACTAATTGAATGGTTGTGGTACTGCACTTGTCCGCCAGAGGGCACATCTGGAATGTTCTGATATTAGGAAGTCACTGGGGCTACGCATTTTTAAAATCTAGATTGAAAATACATTTTCTTGAGAACTGCTTTTGTGCTTAGTTTGTTGTCCTTCCCCCGCACCTCCGATGAGCATGGTTGGCTATGTATGGTGTGAAAGAAGTTCAACATACACACCAACATGGACACTCGCTAATAAACTAACCAACATGGACACTCGCTAAATAAACTAACCAACATGGACACTCGCTAAATAACCTAACGAACATGGACACTTGCTAAATAACCTAACGAACATGGACACTTGCTAAATAACCTAACCAACATGGACAATCGCTAAATAACCTAACCAACATGGACACTTGCTAAATAACCTAACCAACATGGACAATCGCTAAATAAACTAACCAACATGGACACTCGCTAAATAACCTAACCAACATGGACACTCGCTAAATAACCTAACCAACATGGACACTCACTAAATTACCTCACCATCATGGACACTCGCTAAATAACCTAACCAACATGGACACTCGCTAAATAACCTAACCAACATGGACACTCGCTAAATGACCTAACCATCATGGAAACTCGCTAAATAACCTAACCATAATGGACACTCGCTAAATAATCTAACCATCATGGACACTCGCTAAATAACCTAACCAACATGGACAATCGCTAAATAACCTAACCAACATGGACACTTGCTAAATAACCTAACCAACATGGACAATCGCTAAATAAACTAACCAACATGGACACTCGCTAAATAACCTAACCAACATGGACACTCGCTAAATAACCTAACCAACATGGACACTCACTAAATTACCTCACCATCATGGACACTCGCTAAATAACCTAACCAACATGGACACTCGCTAAATAACCTAACCAACATGGACACTCGCTAAATGACCTAACCATCATGGAAACTCGCTAAATAACCTAACCATAATGGACACTCGCTAAATAATCTAACCATCATGGACACTCGCTAAATAACCTAACCAACATGGACACTCACTAAATACTCTTTGGTTCTATTGGGTAAAGTCACGTAGGTGAAAATAAAATAACAAAAAATCACGACGTTTCGACCACAACACAAGCGGCCTTCATCAGGTGAAGGGACGAGACTGTCTGGAGGACAGCGCTGGAGTGGAAGAAGCCACGCTTAGATCATGACCTTTAAGCTGTGTGAGAAGAAAAACACCAAGCGCCTTGACAAAGGAATTAGCATATCATTTTGCATTGAAATGACTCATTGAAATAGCTAAGTTAAAGTATACACATTCGCAGAGGTACCCCTTGGCAAAGGAATTAGCATAGAATTTAGCATTGAAATAGCTGAGTGATTAGCTTGTAACTGGCCACAGAAATAGCTATGTTAAAGTCAGAGCATATACATTCACCGAGGCACCTAGTACTCATCAAACAGGAGAATTTAGCGAAACACAACCATGCTCAGACAGCGGACCTTTAAACTGCTATACACATACCAATAGATGATATCATCTCTCAGGTCGATGTAGCCCTCAAAGGCGTAGGACACATCCAA